GCCTGCAAATACCCGGAAGCACAGTAATTTGGTGGCGAGCGGCGAAAAACGCCGTTGGAATAGATTGCGAATGGAAAATGATGGAGCTTGATCTTGGATGCGGGCAAATGAAGCGGGCGACAAATGAAAAATGGCACAGTGGAGTGCTGGAAAATTGAGCGAAGTGAATAAGTGCAAATCGAGCTGGCGAGCCGCGACGGCGTGGCTGTGATGGGAGCTATAGGCCGCGCGCGGCGATGTAGGTGAGTAGGATATATATCTGGGAGTGGAGTGCGTCTGGACGAAAGCAGAGGCAGCAGTGGATAACGATCAATTAGCGAGAGGAAAGAGAGGAAAAAAGTTGAGTTTACCCGGCGAGATAATTCATTCGAAAGTAGGCTAGCTAATGTATTCAAGAAGCGTAATGGTGGCGAGCGTTGTTATGGTAATTAAAGATTTAATTAATCCGCGCTGGTTGCTGCGCGACGGCGGCGTCGATATATACGTGTACGGGCGTCGAGTCGCGAGTGAAGGGGCGCGCAGGCGACGACAGCTGTTTTCTCAAAACGGGCGCGTATCGACGGCCCGCGGAGCTCGGCTCCGAGCAGCCGAGTGCGCAGCTACGTCGACGTGCGACGACGGCGACATGTCGAGTGCGAGGCTTCGCTGGGAGAAGCGGCGCGGCCAACGACGAACGGCGCGCAGCTCGTTATCGACTCCACTCGCGCTCTCTCCGTCCTTTGCTCGGCGCGCGCCGCTCGCAATTAAAAACGAGAAATTGGGGCTTTGTCCGCGGGCCAGCGGAGAGGGAGAGCGAGTGCAGCCACGTTGCGCGGCAAATCGAGGGCTTCATTAGTGCGCCGGAGGCTCGCGGGGCTCGCCCCGGCCACGCGACACGTGCGTCGCCAGCGATCCTCGGCACCACACTCGCGCTAGGGGGGAGCCCGCCACTTCTTCCCTGCCAGTCTCCTACCTCGGCCGCGCTGCTTTTCGGTCGCCGGCGCTTTCGAAGCGGCGTCTTTGTAAGTCACGCGAGGCGCAGCGGAAGCCCAGTCTTTGCAGTCTCGCTTCGGGAGAGCTGCAAGCCAAGGCTGAACGAGACGGTCTCTATGGCACCGGTGGCGAGGGCTACCGGCAGAGCGGAGTCGCCGTTCGCCGGCGCGACATCGGGTGCATTTGGAATTGGAGAGCCGCGGCGAGCGAAACGTTCGGGAGAAGTAAGGCGGTGCGGCACTCAGCGTGGCAAAGGGCTGCGGGCGAGGGAAGCCAGGCATGTAATCGGATGAAATTTACAGTCGCTCGGCGCGCGAGGCGAGCAGCCTCGGATGATTCATGGGCAAACGCGCGCTCGCGCTCGCTCCCTCCGACTGCACAGCCCGCCGCAATTTTCATTTGCCCAGCAGCGCTCTCGCTTACCTCAACTCTCGGACGAGCCGCCTGCTTAGTTTCCAACTACATACCCGAACTCCTCTCGGCCGCGCGGGGCTCGCGCGCCAAAATCGATGGGTTTATCGACGGCCGTTCGGCTTCGAGCTGGGAGCCAAGAGGCCGGGGGCAAGAGCGCAAGTGCGAGGCTGCGCGAGCAACAGGAGTCGAGCGCGCCGAGCTGGTCGACAGCCGCGAAAGCGCTCGTCAGCCGGGCTTACGTAGCTGGGCTCGGCGCGTCTGACGCGCGAGCCTCCGCCCCGACGCGACGTATCATTTGTACTTTTGCCAGCGCCAAGCTATAATGCCGGCGCGCAGCTCGACTGCCAGTCTGCTGTCCTCCATCGCCGAGCCCTACGGCTTCTTGTTCCCGTTCCGTTCGTCGCGGAGCCCCGAGGGAGAGCCCGCTCTTTCCAACTACTTGCGAGTTTCAGACCCCAGTTCAAGTTTTTAATTCGATTCCGCGAGTGTCGTCCTTCTGTTCTGCCGTTCGGCCGTTCTGCCGGCAGCTATTTCCCCGGATACATCTTCTCGCTTGCCGTTTTACTTTCCGGCGAGCAGCCGCAGCAAAGGGTGCGAGGCTGCAATTGCGTCGGGCCAGCGCTGATTTCCGTTGCCTCCGTAACGGCTGCCGTTTGGCCGATGCACTGTCCCGCAACTTATCCTCGTCGATGTATTTTCGCGCGTTTTCGCGAGGCCGCCTGCTCTGTATTGGGACGGCCGGTGCAACAAGTGGCTTCTCCGCGGTGAATCAAAGCGGCGGCGCACCTTACACTATTGATCCTGGCGCGCGCGTCACGGATTGAATAACGAGCAGGGCTGGAGCTGACCGAGCGCCGAGCGGCCGCGGGAAGATCGAGCGCTGATCGCCGTATACGCGCCCGGCCATTTTCGATTGGCCGACCGCGCGAATAAATTTTGCGGCTCGGGGCTGCGGCGCAACGAGCGCGGAATACGGCTGACGGGGCGAGTCCGCGCCGACCAGCCAGCGAGCCCGGCTCTTTTATCTCGCGGCCGTTTCCATTTTTTGCGCTCTCCTTTTTTTTTTTTTTTTGTCCGAGCAATCGAGAGGCAAACGCCGGAAACGGAAGCGGCTAACGAATGCGCGCTTCCCCCGCAGATTATTTGCAGGCTTTTTGGCTTTTTTGTTACATCGATATTTATGCCTGGTCACCATTCACGACCTGCCACCACCTGCCTCTTCAATTCTCTTGCCAGCGCTAAAGCACACTTCTCTCCGTGTTCATCGCGGCCATTACTCAGCCCTGGTGAACTTTGTTTTCGCGCCGCCCGAGAATTCGTCTTTTACCCGTTGCTACTTGGAGCCGATCGAAACAGCCCGAAAAGACGATCTTGCGGATGATCGTTCACTGCCTCGATAACGTGTGGGCTTTATCTGTGCCAAGTCGTAACTCTCGAGGAAGTGCCGACGCGGATCGAGAGGCAGCCGAGCTGCTTATGGAAACTGTCGGACGAAGGGGGCCCCGCCTACTTTTCCTCGGAAATTTTCGGAGCCTCTGCCGGCTGGCGCACAGGCAGGCAGAATCGGCGATGCCGAGGGCCTCCAGCCTAATCGACTCGTTTACGAAGCAAACCTCGTAAGCCGTCGGCTCGCTGCTGCCAAGCTAACTTCTACAAACTCGCATTCGGGAGGAGCATTGCGTGAGAGGCCCGCGCTGTTCCTCGGCGCGAGATGCACGAGCTTCAGTCTCGCTCCGAACGCTGTCCTACGACGGCTCGCAGCGTCGCTCGGAGCCTGCTCTGCACCTAAGCTCCTTCGACCAAGCCCCGACCGAGTGAACGCGACGCCCGCGCCGTGCCGTCGGCCTGTCGGCAGCATGGACACACTGCCAACGTTTCAGGAGGAAACCGCCACTGCGGCCAGCCTCGCACGCGCAAACGCCACCCCTCAACAGGTGCGACAAACAGCGAACTACGCTCATGCTAGCGATAAGCTCTTCTTCGTCCGTCAAAACTGCAAAGCACGACTGCCGCACGCTGTTTCGATAAATACCGTAGGTAACATGTTCGACAAACCGACTCTTGTCTCGTCTTTCTATTGAGTCTTGCTTCGCTCGGGCGAGAACGATCTTCTTTCCCGCACTAGTCAGGTAATGTATTGTTGTATATTCTTGGCCGAGACAAAAGCGAGGAAGGCCGAAGAAGATGTTTGCAGTGCAAGACAATACGAGCACTGCAAACGTCATCTTTGACGATACCCACGCTTATCCCTCTAACCAAAGCTAAAGTTTTTGTAAACCTCCTTCGAATCACTCGCTTAATTTCAAACCTCTCAAACGCGCGTATTCCTCGATGCCTATAGAACATTTTTGACAATCTATTGCTTTAATAAACGATTCATTACTGAAAGGTGAAAAAAGGGAGTTATTTTTCACGGATAATTTTATAATAGTTCTGACAAATAAATCAAAACATTGACAAAAGTAAGTATGTCATATTTTTCTAGTCACAATATTTATACAATTTCATGCACAAATGACTGAAGTACGGTGATTAGAAAATTAACTTATTTTACTGGGTATCAGAATTTCACATACAAACAGTCTCATCGCCACTCTGATTATTCTAATCTTGGTACCACAAAACATATTACGAAAGAATTAGATGTCGTTTATCTTAGACCAGAAAATAAGTAATATCAGTTATTCGAGTATTAGATCGATCGAATTAGCTCATTTAGAGGAGAAAAAATTGTTAACAGCACTTTGATCACTGTAAACGGTAAAGGGGCTTATAAGGAACTTTAAAAAGAAAAATGCAACAGCTGGGGTGGCACGTGGTTGGTTTACTAGAAACTAGTCATCAGTTAAAAAAAAAAACGTTCAACAGCACAACCAACTTTACTCATCGAACTCTTCACGTGACAGCTAACCTTTTCGGCCACAACCCTTATAATCATTTACGACGGATATATGCGTCCCCTGCTGTTGAACATGACTTCGTGAGATTCACAGTCCTATTTTTCTCGATCGCTTCTCTAGCTATAGTCATTTGAGTGTAGCAAAGGGCATGCGTTATGATGGGGAAAACCGTGGTCAATAAAAATCGAAAAAAAAACTACGTACTTTATGCGAAACCTACCTAGCAGGCATATTACAGACTAGATCGTACAAAAACTATCTTTATACTAATCATTTTTTTTTCATCTTAATACATGTTTTAGTAACGCAGAGATAAAAGTTTCTACGACGTTTCAGATGAGTGTATCAACTTTTTCAAAAGTTATTAATAATTGAAATAATTCACTACTTTTTTCAAATGTCATATTTTATGAATAAAAAATTTTATTGATATCTTCTATTGTATATAACATTTTCTAGACCAACATTTCATTAAGGTATCATGAAAATCTTGTAGGTATATTTTACAGGAATGTGTTAAAAATACGTTATTCAATTATTATGAAATTTTTTTCACATATGATTTGATGCAGAGAGTAATTGTACTAGATCAATGTATACCAAGACATTTAAAAGACCCGATCACGAGAATAAGATAATATTTCCAACGGTGCGAAGCACCATTCGGTTAGTACAATGTAAAGTTGTCGACTTAGTGTACGCTACTTCACTTACCCTATATACCCAAGCCTCAAGGGGTAAGTTATAAGATTTTATGGAGCACTTAAATTTCTAGCGTCTTCTTTCTGGTTGATAGTGTGTTGTTTAACTAAAAGAACGAATGGAGTGAAAATGTATCTGTCATCCTGAAAACAATAGGACTATTGTAATAATTTTTATATATTTATTAGGTATGTTATTGTTACGTATTTGTGTATATTATATATTACACTCAATGGAAAGCATATTTAGATAAATATATACTACGCAAAGTACAAACCGCTGGAAACGAGCTCGGAAAAAAATTTGGGAATATTTAGGACAATTTCAGAAGTTTGCATTCGAGCAATAAAATAAAAAATAATTATTGAGCACAAAATTGTAATTCTCAGTTTCAATTTTTAAATTTTAGAAAATTATTTTGTTTTATTAATTTATTGTTATAATATTACTGAGCATAATTTATTTTTCATCAATGTCAATAACATGTGCTATGCAATGCAATAATTTGCGTCTCATGAAGATCAAGTTATACTTTCCCCTATACTTTCTACATAGTAGTTATTTTTTTAAAGCAAATAAAGTTGTCATCATTAACAAAATTGCCTAAAAAAGAGCGCTCTAGATAAAAAATATATGGATCTTGATTACAATTTATAAAAAAGTTTATAGAAATATATAAGGACTCGAAGCTATAATCATTCAATATAACGCATTAGATTCTGTACATTAGTATTGAGAGTAAATAAAATACACGCAACGAAACTGTTGCGCATGCAAATATTTTGCTTGCATTTTTTACAAGCTTATCAATTTTAGAAATATACAAATGAAAATAAAATTTGTAGTACATTTTGATATTTGAACAGAAACATTTTTTAATATTTGTCATAATACAATAATAAATATTTTTATGCACATTGTATATTATATAATCACAATACAATATTTGTCTTAGCACCTCAGAATAGCAGTGCATTACTATGTAATAAGGAAAGTCCATTGACTTTGTCTACCGAATGGTCAGATTATTTACGGAATGGGAAAAATTTATTGCGACCGATGTTGGGTACTATTCTTGCCATACTAATGAGTGCCTTTGCTAGCAAAATTCGATTTACGCCCTTTCTTAAGTAATATATTAATGTTTAGAGAATGAAAAATCCTTTGACGTTAACTCTATATGTAGAATATCATTTTATCAAATTGTAATTTAGATCGTAATCTTTTGATCAAATAGTAATTTAGAAAGGACAAAAAGGTCAAAGGCCTTAACTGTAAAATGAATAATAACTAACACTTCTGAATATACTCTAGGAAATTCTTGAACAATTACATTTCTACTCTTATTATGTACTTCCAAGCATATTAATACATAAAAATTATTAGGACCATTACGCCAATGCAGTACGGTTGAAGTTGCCCTGCGGCCTGAGACGAAGCTCAGCGCATCGCTCTTGTTTTTCTGATAGAACAGTATTCTTTATGAAGATTGCATTTTTTATTGCATATTTCGGAGCAAAAAATCTCGGGAAATACAATTAAACATCAGTTATTTTGTTGCAATAAAGGCCATAACGATGTAATTTTTTTTGCAGATCAGATATAATATTTGAAAAAAGTAAATAATTATTTTTGTTAATAACTTTTGAAAAACTCAATAAATTAATCTGAAATTTATATAAATGCTTATATTTATGTTACTGTTATGTTAATGTATGGTATCACGATTTCAGAACTCGATTTTCTATTTTTCGTTGGATTAAATGAGAACTTTCTTAATTAAAATAATAATAATTTGAGGGTATATACATAATTCCGACCTCGGGTTTAGGTTCAGTGCACTAAAATACATGGAAATAGATGGATTGATATAGACCATTTTCTTTTTTTCTTTGTAGAACGGTATTCATAATAAAAACCACTGATACTTTAAGTTTGAAGTTGGTTATTCTGCTCCTATAATATATATCAGTCAAAAATTAATGCCCGGGCATTTAGCAAACTGTCTGAAGCTTAAAATATCTATCCCCATGTCATAAGAAATATACTCTTTTCTAAACTTTTTTAGGGTTGCTATAAGATTTAGAAATTCTGAAATTCACGTAATTACGATGAAAATTTGTTAATTATACAAAATATCACGAAAAATAATGAAAATTCTATAAATATTATGAAAAACGAGATCCCTTTCAAGTTATATGATCTTACGACTGGGAAGTGGCAAACATTCAAAAATATATTCACGCTAATCCCCTGGATTTTCCATTTTTTGCAGTTCCCCGGATTTTTCCGCTGTCGTTGCGTTGGATCAAAAACATATTCGTGCCCTGAGAGCTCCTATTATTAAAATTTTTCATAAAATTCACAAAAAAAATAATCATGAACATTTTTCCTAGATCATGAAAAATATCATGGAATATTATTGCGATTGTTGGAACGTTAATATTTGTATAAATTCAAAAATATCAAATATATATTCTAAACATAAATTAATTGAAATAATGAATCAATTTCATTCAAAAATCAATCAATCATATCAATGATCTGTATCATTATTTAATGAATAAGAAAAGCGGATGAAAAATAGTCATCTAAAAATGTAGACGATGAGAACGTTATCTTTAAATTCATAAAAATTGGGCGAACAAAATTATCGTAAATAGCATAAATCCGAATGATTATTCGATTTATAGCGCAAGCGTTTAGTTATTGCAAAACAAACAAAAAGAAAAATAGCAATTGTTATTTTATTTTCTAGAGTCCAGAGGACCTAGCATTGGACTGTCCGCATTTGCTGTCGCCAAAGGCTTATATTTCATCGTTGGTGCGGAGACCCATTAATAAACAGGAGACTCGAGAGAACGAGTCAGCAAGCAACAGCCTCACGAGTCAATCTACCGATCAGTGCAGCAACAGTAGCAGCGAAATCAGTAAACAAAGCAAAGCCATCCTACTGAATGCCTTTAAATATCCGAAATTGTATTACTGTGCCTACTGCAATAAAAGGTTTTACAGTATTATTTCTCAAGTAAGGCATCTCAAGTATCACGCCAATTGGTGGCTTTGCTTCAGGTGCAAACGATGCTTTCAGTTCCGTTATAAGATGAAACTTCATCGAAAATGGTGCATCAAGCAGCGGAGAAGAGAATTGAAAAGAAGGCATTATATTAGAGTTAACTGATTATAAGTGCTGGCCATTGTGCATATTTGGTACTAGTCACTCGTATACGAGCTATGTCCATATCATTATGCAGTGTGCATGGACTGATTGCAAAGCGACCGAGCAGATATTCTGCTTATCGAATGAGCGTTTCGTTCAACTTATTTCTTCTGTGACAAATAAGCATCGGTGGACCGGTTAATCTCTGAATCTGTGAAAGATCAAAAATACAAGGGCTGACGCGTAATGCGTTACCGATTCCCGATATGTCAATGGAAATTTCCTTCGTCTCGCTCCTGGTGTATTCAAGAGAGGAAAGAGTGTTGGCCTTTAACGGGCAGTAGCAAGCGAGCTGTCAATAGCTCCGCTCCTTCTAAATATCCATCATTGTCCATCTGTTCGTGTGTTTGTGTCCACTTGGAGAGTAATGGTCCAACCAGTGAATTGGATTCAGTCCTGCATGGCTGCAGTGGATCGCGCCTTGGCCCATCTCCAGGCATGTATCCTCGCACATGGCTACTACGTTTATAACCCACCAGGTGGCCAAAGTTTACCCGGTCTCGAGACATCAAAATCGCCTTCAGCGGATGCTATCGTGGTGCGCTCCTCCACCCTCGTGGCGGCATCAGCGTACCTTAACTGTGCCTTAACCGTGAGAAAATCTCTACGAGTGATTATCTAAGATAAAAATATCCGCGTTCCGCATTGATACTTATCATATTAATATTAACATTCGTATTGTTATCGCTCTTTTTTGCTTGATCTATTCACACTGATTGATGCCGACTTTTTCTCTACTTAAGATTAAGATTTTTTATTCCTAAGTAAAGCGTAATTTTGTAATAAGTACAAGTATATTCACTATCGCCCAAGCGTTCTGATCTTTTTAACAAACTTTCAATGCTATTATTTTTTATGTTATCGGCTTTGAAACAATTTTATTTTCATATATTTCAACAGAATTTTATGATCTTTCAGAATTCGAGCTCAAACTTTTGATTAGATATAAAAAAATGAATATGGCTAATTTAATCACGAAAAATTTGAAAATCTTCGAACAATCTTTTTTCTAGATAATTTTATAATGCAATCATTGAACCACACTTTTTTACAATATAACGTCAAGTACGTAAATACTCTTTCAAAATTTAAGCTAATTTTTTTCACGAAAATTATTGAATTTAGCAGAAATTATTTAAGAAAAAAGTTTCTTACAATTTATTAAAGAAATACTCATTTATTTCGAAATTTTAATAATGATATTTTGTTTTTTAAATATAAAAAAAATGAAAATTTCCAATTTTCTTCTATTTTGAAACAATTTTTGAACATTTTCTGATCGATTTTAAGATATATTTTTATTCTATAAATTATTTTATTAAAACTTAAGAGTTTCCGAAAAAAGAAAATTATTCGAGAACATATTTTTCTCATTGCATGACCTAGAGACAATGACTATCTCTATTCAAGCACCCCGCTAAGTGAGAGGCAAAAGTATTCAATCTAATTAAGCATCTCAAAGGAGACGAACTTCTACCATATCTTCCACATATAATTATAGTTCTCCATGATCATTAAATACTATAATTCGCAGAGAAGTGAAGGGAGTCAATCTAAAAAAACATCCCCATAAGTAGGAGGCAAGGGACATTATCTAATCGAGCACGTCAAAGGAGACGAAATTCTACCATGATTTCGTTATCTGGTTATTGTTCTCCGTGATCATTTGATATTATAACTCGCAGTCCCAGCTTTCCATTCTCTCGGACTTCGTGGAAGGGACTTTTTCTTCATTAACTATTTTCCGATTGTCCGAGGTGTTAAATTTCTTCGTTCGTGGTTGACTGAGAACCCTCGACGCGCCTAGAACTCGATACTCTGCTAACTCGGTTATTTATTTGTTCCACCGAGTTGAAGTTTTTATGATAGCATTACAAAAAAAAATCCTGAAAAAAGTTTTTTTGATAATTTTCAAGTCTTTCA